AAGGAAAGCAGTTACTGTGTATTTTTGCCTCCATGCATCTTTGTATTCAACAACTGTCTCTTTTGAAATTCAATTTTAAAATTTGCTTAATTTCTTGACCTGATGAATTTTTTTTTTTTAATTTTTTTTGGTTTCTCAACAGTTGGGGTTTAAAATGTTCCTTGGTATTTCACCAGTCGTAACAAACTGGAGTGCAGCATCAGATGAATTTTCCTTGATACTGGACAACAACCCAATGGCAGAGTTTGCTGAGTTGCCAGAGGGACACGAAGGACTTCTTTTCTCCAACATACTCTGTGGTGTCCTGAGGGGAGCTCTTGAAATGGTAAGAATCAAAGGGGTGTTAAAATGTCCTTACAAACAGGAGGATCCAACTTTACCACTGTATTAAAACTTACCTGCAAATTTGTGAACACTACTTACATGTGCAATAAATGGTACCACTGCAACCATACCAGTCAGTTTCAACAAACTAGAATTACAATTTTAAATGAAATGAACTTCATTTGACATGTGGATGAAAATCCAGTAAAGCAATGATCCTTCCAAGTGAGGAGCAATTTTATCAATTGCAGGAAGCATGAAAAAAATTCAAGCTTTGATCGGATTTTGAACTTGGTGGCTTCTAGTTGGGTTCTACTTCCTTCTGAGCTATGATAATTTCTTTACTTGATTTTCACGTGTGGTTCTGTAGCTCAATATTGTTAACCCTTTCACTCACAAGATCTGATCGTTAATTCTCCCCTCTGGCTAGTACACGGTTCTTTGTAAGTTAGTAACAAGAATCAGGTACTGGATCAAGATGACAACTTCTACCGTACTGAGTTAACCACCTCCTGGTTAGCTCAATTGGTATAGCGCCGGACTGTTGTGTGGGAGGTCGAGGGTTCAAGCCCCGGCCGGACCAACACTCAGGGTCATAAAATAAGTGAGGAGAATGTGCTACCTTTCTATACACCGTATGCAAATATGGCGTCCAATTTGAATTGCCATTGTTCTGGACTGACTAGCCTCGTCTTCACGTGGAAATACAAAAGGATTATTACATGTGCGAGAGGCTAGTCAGTCCAGAACAATGGCAACTCAAATTGGACGCCACATTTGCATTCGGTGTATATAATATCAAGAAATGGATAGATATTCTAGTCTTCTCGGATAAGGACGAATAAACCGTAGACCCCGTCTCCTGCAGGGTTAGGGGTAGGAGACGTTAATTTCCCAAGCACGAGATTACTGTGTGGTGGATGTCCTTCCCTGGGATGGGATGGGTGGGTATATCTGCCGAGATGGGCTGTATAGCCCTTTGCAGATTAAAACATTGACTAAAACCTCATTTAATCGCTGTAGTGCCTTGTCTGTCTCTCCTCACTCCTCAAATACTTGACGTGATCGAATTTAATGGCCCATTAATAGATGATAGCTGAAAATTGAAATTAATATTTCTCTCTCTCAGGTACAAATGGAAGTTGATGTCTGGTTTGTTCATGATTCGTTGAGAGGTGACGAGACGACAGAAATTAGACTCAAATTTATAAAGAAGTTAGAAGATGCTCTCCCTGCTGGCGAGGACTAATACTACAATGTGGTCCGTGTAAAGCACTCTGTATAGGAGAGATTTTAAGCTAAAAAAACCCAAATAACAATTGTCTGCCACTGAAATATCACGCAATACTACGTGCATTAGGAGGAGTTGCATGACGTCGTGGATGACTGCAAGAGATTTCGAATAGGGTATTTTTAGCGACTTTCTTTCGAGAAGTTTTTGGAAAACCGAAGGAACTGAAGTCGTCAGTTGATTACCTATTTTGATGTTAAATTGTAAACTACCTTTATTTTATTCAACACACTGTGCAATACATCAGAAAACACATCATTTCTCATACACGTAAAAAATTTCTTTTTTTTCTGAGCACGAAGTCAAGGTGAAATACTGATTGGTAGAAATATTTGTATGATTTGAAATTATTTTGGTCAAACAGGAATTCTTTTAGAAATTAGCTTGTTGTGAGCAGATGGTCAAAGAGAGGGAAAATAAAGAAAAAAAAAAAACACGAGAAACAACTCATTTAGGCCGCTAAAACGCTTTCTATTAGTGAAGAATGTTCCACGACGTCACTGTTGCGTGCTGTAAGGCATTGAATGTTAAACAGCGTAATTAGCGTAACTCTGTTCTATCTTGTCACTTTTCCGTAACCATAGATACACTGCACTAGTATACGCAGCGTTATCTATTATGACATATGCCCCTGATTAAAGAGGAAGAGCAACTTTTATTAGACATCTTTCGGAAAATTTCAGATGGTAAGGATCCTTCTCCCTCCTAACAGAAAAAAAAGATGAAAAACATGCAAACCGTATCTATTTTTAAGACTATCGATCTTTCTAAGAAAGTAGCTTAAGAAGTAACAAAATTAAGACACCACCTGGGGCCCTCCGGAATTTTCGACGATTGTTGTTACAAACATCCGTTTTCTTTGTCAGGTGGTGTAGGGAAGTTTCCAAAGATGTTCGAAAGACAGGGATATAGACATTTCTAGAACAAATTAACGTTAATTCTTGAAAAAGTTTGAATTTTCCATTAACTAATCCTTTAAAAGAATGTGAATTAACTGTATCCGGGAGATATGACAGGTAAATGCTTGTCTAATATAATATATCTACTGTGTATTAGGTAGAAAACTTGACTCTTTCATAAGAAGCTATTTAGAGAAGAAAATAAGGCACTGAAATCAAATTCAAATACTTTCGCATCTGTTTGTGCCGTAAGACCAATCTTTGTCTTTTCCGTTGTTGTTTTGAACAGTTGTGCACAAAATGTTTTCTTCCAATTGTGTTAGCGCTCTTTGTAACTGCTGCACAGCCCTTTTTCTTGCCAAGCGGATGCTTTCGGCGCGATTTGCTTCGATGCCATCTAATTCGATTAAAAGACGCGTTAGATTTTCTTCAATGGCTAGGTACGCCTTAGTCTTGCTATTGTCTGTGAAACCAAGTACTTCCTTCTCCAGCTTTTCTGCTTTCTTGAGAATATTTTGAATTGTTAACAGCTTATCTTTGCACTCATTTTCAATTGAAAATTCCAGTGGTAATGATTCTGCCCCGTGAAGCTCTTCGCCTTTGTCTGTGTATTCTTTAGTGCATTCTTCGCTTTGTTCAGTATTGGTTTTGTCGTTGGTGATTTCCTCCCTAACTTCTTCACTGTAGTTGAAATTAGATTCCCCCAAAGCATCTTGGCCCTTAACCAAATCCTCATCTACATAGTTTTTCTTTTCGTCAACACCAACAGCGCCGGCGTTATCAATGTTGAGTACAGTGTAATCATCCTCTTCCTTACCAGTTTCTTCTTTATCTTGAACGCTTTCTAATCCGCAAGCATCTTTTATTTTTCCATCTGCCTCAATCACTTTATTTTCTCGTAGACTCCCCTCTTCGCCTTCATCATTTCCATCTTTTACTTTCTCGTCGACTTCAACCTGAATGGGTATACTGAAAGACGTCTTGAGTAGAGAGATTTTGCCCATCTTTGGAGCAGAGGGCAAAGTTTCCCGTAGACTTCTAGCACTATACGTGTTTCTTCTTCCAAGTCTTACAGGAAGAGCTGACCTCGACGAGTAATGATCTTCAAACGCCTTCTGCAAATCTCCAACAAATGGATTTTCCCTGAAAAAACGTCTTCTTTGTTCCTTTCGTTCTGTGTGATTTGGTTGATCACAGGACTCAACTTCATTCGGTTTTTGAACTCGTTGGAAACTTTCAGGCAAACTACATTTCCACAATTTGTATTGCTGATTCTGGTTGTTTCCATTTTTCCTTTGTGTCGTTGAATCATCGGTGGTTTGTGTGTTTTCGTGTGCTGATCTTTCTGTAGAAGCCTCGCGCTGGTTTGAAGTAGTTTCCACGACCAATTTTAATTTCGGTCCGTTGGGCAAACTTAAGGATCGCGAGAAAATGCGGGGTTTTCCCTGCTTGAACTCGGGGTGAACTGTTACCGGGATCTCCCTGCTCATCGTTAAGTCTCGTCACGAGTAACTCAGTCATCAAAAAGGACTTAGTGGCAATTGAAAAGACATAGGGACCAGAGATGAATGAATTCCAGGAGAGGAGGGATTTAAAGAATGGAAAACAAATGCTCGTGATATTGACCATGTTGATTTGCTACTTGAACTTGGTCACGCACACGCAAGTTCACGCCAGGCGCACGCGCGAACATCGCTCTCGTCAGTACGAGAAAAGTTTATAAGTAGGTGCGAGTATTTGCATCAAATAAAACTGCTTCTGATTCTTTATACTCCAATTTAAGGACCATTTTCTCAGCTTAGAATTTCCGTGCTCAACAGAATCTAGAAAACCGTCGATTCATAATTTACAGTTTCTGATACGCATGGATCTTTCCAGAACATTCGATCACTCAACATTGTCAAAATGTTTGCGGCAATGAGATTACCGCGATTTCAAACGTCGTGTGGGTTGACAGAGACTACTTTCGACATTGTCAACACAGCACGATATGGTTTGATATTGTCAATAGAAGACTTGATGATTTTACATTTGCACATTGCTCTCCAATCCGGTATTCGTAATTTTCCTTTTTATAACCCCCAGACCTAGAGAGAGTTCGGCCACCTGATAAGGCAAATTTCATATCTCGTGCCGCAAATTCTAAACTTTTCGCGGAGGCCTGATCGAGTCCTGATTCTTTCCTCCGTTCACACGGAGTTATGAAGTAACGAATAATATCACCTAATTTTTGAACGAATAATATATTGCTCCTAAAATAATAGTTACTGCTCTATCGACTTCGTATTGTCGCTCTTTTCTTTGTATCTTAAGGTTTTTTTGAAAAAGTGTTGTCCTTTTTTTTTTTTATGTAATATACTTTCTGCTATCGATAGCGCCCCCTCCAACGGCGGTGGCTTGCATCCGCCGAGAATGCGCCCCCGCAGGCTACGTCTGCCAGTCCCCCTCCCCGCCCCCAGTTTTTTTTTCTAAATCTGTTGAGAAAGCGTGGGGGCTAAACAAGGTTGAATTGTAAAAAATCCCACGATCCCGATTAACATTAAATTTCCATATCAATTCAACGCTTTGAAAGAGCAGGAAACTGCGAAAGACGGGAGCTCGAAGAAAATAACTTCTTCTGAATTGAAAAAGTGACGATGGCCTTTGAAACCGTGACGAACTACACTGGACTCCAGTCTTTCTATCTCGCGCGGTCATAATGGAGTTGTTAGAAGTTTCTAGCACGGTTTAACAAAAAGATCTATGCTGTTAATTTTCATCGTCAACGTCACGATTTTATTCTAATTTATCCCGACTAAAGGTCTGGACCCATCTGAACCATAAAACTTTATGTAGCCGGATCGAAAACAACGAGGAGTGAATAGTTCTGCAGTCGGCGACAAAACAATGGGGAAAGATTATTACAAGATCTTGGATATTCCACGCAACGCAAGCGAAGACGAGGTCAGGAAAGCCTACCGAAAGATGGCTTTGAAGTATCATCCAGACAAAAACAAAAGCACTGGAGCAGAAGACCAGTTCAAAGAAATAGCAGAAGCTTACGAAGTCCTCAGCGACCCCCAGAAAAGGGAGATATTTGATAAGTACGGCGAAGAAGGCTTGAAAGGAACGGGCAAACCTCAAGCGAGTGCGACCGAGTTTAATTTTCAAATGCCGCCTGGATTTACAGCTTTTACTTTCCATGGAGACCCGATGTCCACGTTCTCAAGAGTTTTTGGACGAGACGATCCCTTTAGAGGTGGGTCTCCAGCGTTAAAATGTCGAGATAATATCTAAGGTTAAATATCGCTTGAAGTTTTTCATGCTAATTCGATCAATATAACAGTACAGAAAAGTTTTGTTCGATGCGACACTATGAAAGGCCTTCCTCGGTTGTATTGGACCTCATTACACCAGTCATATCTAAAGTAGTACGCTATTTTGCACATAGACGTTCGTTGAAATGGCTGAATTTTTTGGTTACATCCACAACATTGAGTGCGGGGACCATATTTTTGCCAAGATGTAACGTCAGTTTTCTAAATAATTAAAAGTGGTTTTTGTTGATTTCGGTTTCCCTTCCTACTATAATATGATCGTTGAACCATTAGAAATTAGCTGTATTAGTTACTTTATTTGTTATCGTGTGACAATTAAATTTATAGACTTGTGGTTGGTGGAGGAAAATGATACAATTAAAAAAAGCCCATTGTTGTGAAACAGATGAATTGCTAATGTCAACAAAGAGGGCAATCACACAGAAATCAGAGAACTTTCTGGAGTGTCTACAATTTTATTAAGTTCGGGAAGTATTCAGCGGATTTAGTTTAAACAATATCCTTTGCTGAAAAATAATTGAAATTTACTGGGAAAAAAATGTCACTTTTTGGTCTGAGTTTGAAAAATAGGAAACAGCTGGAATAAACTAGACCATTTTAAATCAGGGAAGTATTCAAAGAAGTTATTTCGAACATCATCGTATGCTGGAAAGTTACTGAAGATTTTTCCTTTTGAACAAAATGTCCCTTTGTGGTCTAGATTACCTTGCAAAGTAGAAATCAATCAGTGAAGAATCTAGAACATTCTGTTTTGTTTGCCAACTTTATAAAAACAAATGTTCAAACGTTGTCAGGGTTTTTCTCAATAGATAAAAATATACCACATTTTCATGCTACGGCTCAAGAGTTTACTCATCCATGTCCCAATTTCTTTAATGTGGTATTAACAGGGTCAAATATTCACCGTTTAATACACAAAATGAGAACAACCCTTTCTAGCAATGTGTAGACATTTTCTTGAAAGTTAATTTTGTAATAGTGATTATTATTAATGCTTCAAAATAATCCAGGTCCTTCCATTATGACATTTAAGATGTTTGTTCCTCATGTCTGAATGATTTTTCTGGAAGATTTCTAAGTTAAGAACAGCTTATTGTTTAATATATAGGAATGATTTGAATCAATTTCTTCATTTACACTGTTTTGCATCTTCTGAAAAAGAATAAAGGATGATTGTTGGGTTGTCCAAATTGCTAATGTTTGTTTTCTGGGAGTCTGAGGGTCATTTATGTCAGTGTGCAAAATAAATAGTTTTCAGGTCTTTCCAGGTGGTTCTTTGATGGGGAAGTACACTCTAGAAACCATGTAATTATGGTTTCTGTTAGGTAACAGAAATTCCAAAAAGGATCTCAACCATGCAAAATTATCCCGAAATGTGATTATACTTGATCTCAGACACATCCATTTTGAAAGAGTGTAGCTGATTTGCCAAGTAACATAAATGGCAGCATCTGTAGTAGTAGTAAAATATATTTAAGAAAATGTTATGTAAGGTTATTTATTACATGACTCGGGCAGTCAGAGGGCCAATAACTAAAATCAACCAATCAAAATGCTCTATTGCCGGTCCAATGTTCTCTAAGTATTGGACCGGGCACTGTCCCGAATGGTCCCGAATGATACCGCACTTGTGTCCCTTTGAACTTCAGTCGTATAATAAATCTCTTATTAACCAAGCTTGCTCGGGACTGTACTGGAAGAATATCGGCCCTCGGTCTTTTTTGTACGGACCTCGCTACACTTGGTCTGTACTGTCAAGACCTCGGGCCTATATTCTCCCAGTACGGCCCTCGAGCTTGGTTAATAAGATATATGTTCCTCCTTAGATTCTCAAAATTCAGTCAACGTGACAGACATAATTTCACAAATACTACTTAATTGCTGTGATTAAAGGTACATTCTGGAGCATACTTTTCTTTTAAATTGGAGGGAAGCAAATTGTTAGCCATGTGGTTCCAAGTAGAAGTTTCTTTCCCCATCAAAGATATTCAAGTTACTTGTTATAGAATTGGCACTTTTCTTGACTGAGAAATTTGCTATAATTGTGCTTTCTTGGCTTTTCAAATGGTGTGCCATCTAAAGTTGAGCAAACAATGTTTTTGTTATTCTTCTGATGATCAAATGCAGGGTTTTAATAGAAGTCATATGTTTTTATGAAGAGGCATGTATCTGTTGCAGGTAAATATTAAATTCAGGTAAAAAATATTAACCTAGGTTGAATTTCAATTCTCTTTGTCTCCGAGCCCTAAATGTGAATAATTAGGGCTCGGAGACGAAGGAAATTGAAATTCAACCTAGATTAAAATTTTTTTACCTGAATTTACTTTTTACCTGCAACCTATCCATTAATTTCAACCAGTAGATTGTGATCCAAGTTGTTGGCTTCTACTCTTATTGTTTGTCCTTGCAATGTTCAGTCCCTTCACTCCCAAGATCTTATTAGTAATTCTCTTAACTGACTGCCATACAATTGTTATGAAATTAGTTTGAGAATTTGATATTTGATCAACTAATAATCCCCTTATTGATATTTTTCTTTGTTCTTGTTACTTGTCTGCTTGATATTGTGATGTTATTGTAAGTAGAAATTCTGTCTTAGTCATTCATGGGAGTTAAAAGGTTTAAGGCAGTGTTTAATTTTTGAAACTCGCATTTTAGTTGGGCTTTAATTGATATATATATTTTTTAAGAAATATACATTACACCTTATGCTCAAGCAATCGAGAAATTTTTCTGTATTTACATAGCTTCATGCATATCAGATATTTTATAAGTAAACAATGATTAATTTTTTTGTTTAGTATAATTTCAGAGCTGAGCAAAGAGTTTCCAGCAATCTGATTGGTCGAGTGGTTCCTTATATGATGCTTTATAAACCACTCTATGCGGTTATTATAAAAAGTTAAAATAAAATGTTAATAAATGTTACTCAGGTTAGGCGAATATTGTCGAATAATCCCTGAGACAAAGTTGAGGGGATTATTCGACGATATTCGTGAACCAAACCTGAGGTGAATAATTGTTAATTATGAGTGCATAACTAATGGGTTCTCTCTCTCTCTACCAGGAATGTTCGATCATGGTTTTGGCATGTCAGGTGGAGCATTTGAAGGAGGAAATTTTTCAGATATGGGTGGGTTCCATTCCAGCTTTCATCATCAGAGTCACCCTGGCTTCAGTCGACAGAGATCATCATCCTTTGAAGATATGCATTCATTTGCTCGTAAAAAGGCTCAGGATCCTCCAATAGAGAAATACCTCATGGTAACTCTAGAGGAGCTGCTAATGGGAACTACCAAAAAACTGAAGATCATCAAAAAGGTTTTGAATCAAGACAGAGTGACAACTCACCCAGAAGAAAAAATTCTTACTATTGATGTTAAAAAGGGGTGGAAGGAAGGAACAAAAATCACTTTCCCAGAAGAAGGGGACCAAAAACCAAGCACTGTTCCTGCTGATGTTGTTTTCACTATCAAGGACAAGGCACATGTTAATTTCAAACGAGATCATGATAATAACATTTTGTATACTGCTCCCTTATCTCTTAGAGATGCCTTAACTGGTCATACTACAGGTTCAATGGTACCAGTTCCCACATTAGATGGACGGACCATCAATATTCCGTTAAACAGTATTATTAAACCTGGGGCAAAACGCCGCATTAAAGGAGAAGGTCTGCCACTACCCAAGAGGCTTAATCAACGAGCTGACATGATGGTGGAATTTGATGTTGTGTTTCCAACACAACTTTCCACATCAAACATTAATTTATTAAAGAATGCTTTACCTGAGTGAGACAAGAAAACTTATTTATGAGTTTTTAGTTATTATTCAAATTTCACCAGGAGTGGTTGAATGGTGCAAAAGTGCTCTTTTAAGAGAACTGTTTCCCTATGTTCTTTTCATGAGAAACAGAAATGTTCTAAATTATTTCATTCAATGTTTTTTTTCCAATGGGAAGGAATGACACAAAAGGTGTTACATTAAGTTTTAAAGGGTGACGAAGAACTGTTCAAGTTTGAATTTGTGTCAAATTTCACTGCGATTAGGTAGATGATGTTCCTTCATGATAAATGTTTTCAACATTTGCATCACTAGAATAGTAAGGGTAGCTAATTATTTCAGTCTCCCCATAATTCGTGTCAGCTAAGGATTAATGGGAATAGAGTGATCATCAAGTAGTTCTGATTGTTTGAGACTGTTTTATCTCTCTTCCAAATTCTGCAGTCTTAATTGAATACACTTTGTACTATGTCTTTACTTAGTGAGAGGGAGGAAAACTGACCGCTGAAAATTTGAAGTTCAATTAATTAGGTCACAAATTGGACAAAAATTGTTATCGTATGATTCATTTTTAAGCTGTTAGTGTGAATGATTTCACCCTCAACATAAATTCAGATGTGATGTCAGTGACAGAGAAAAAAAACCCCAGGCTGTTAGTGTTTATGTGCAGTTTGTAAATAGGTGTAAATATGTTTGTTTGGAACTTTGGATTGATATTAAATTATGCTTTGTTGCTATCCTGCCAGAGTCAATGTAAAGCAAGTTGAGCAGAGTCCATATGGTAGGGAATCTAAAATTAAAGTAATAATTACAACTTGTTTGGTCTTTGGGTAAACACAACAAAATATTCATCATTCTTTTTCAACTTGAGTCAGATGTAAGTATTGTATATTTTCTTAACTTATTAGTAAAATAAAACATACACAGTTCAATTAATTTTTGTTTTAATTATTATCTTGGTCCATTTCAGTGGAAGATGATCAGATTAAATGATTTTCCTATGAGACTCCCTGGAAAAAAAGGGATGGGGATGCTTACTGGAAAATTTAAAATGAGGTTGCCTGTAGAGGAAACCATTCCAGGCACGATCCAACTGCTAAAAGTAACCTCTTTTCTTTTTTTTCCTTGTCCTTAAGACCAGGAACTGAAATTCTGCTCTAAGATATGTTCCCAGCTAGGATTCTTGGTTTTCCATCTGGACATCTAGTGACACCAGAATCTGTTTTTTCCTTCCATGCCTATGGGAGAAGGGAAACCTACCCTTTGATATGGAATCAGCTTTCCCCAGTTGATCAACAGTGCTTTGGGACAGGGTAGAGTTTTAGCCCTTTTTCTACCAGGTGACCAGTTAGTAATTTCTTCCAAAAACGAGATTAAAACATGATGGGAGGAAAGAAAATTGTCTGATATGACACCAAATTCTTCTGGCTAAAATTACTGGAAGTGTCTAAAAGATAGTGAAGAAAAGAGATGTTAGGATCTTGGGAATGAAAAGGTTGAAGCTCAACATAATAAAAAAGACCTGAACAAAGTTGGTGAAAGGCAACTCTATCCTCACTTAACCACACACACTACATATATGTGAAGCTTTTGATCCAGAAAGACACCATGTTCATATGGCTAAATAGTGAAACAACCTGTTTAAGATCCTGGACCCCAAAACCAAATGCTATTCAGCAGCCCATGCCTATCTGGTCTAGGAGGGAGATCTCCCCATCCACCCCCCCCAAGGGCTCCTACCCCCTTCCCCCTTGGTTAGTATTAGATATAAGCATTTGTTGAGTGATGTTAGATGAAAAGTGTGATTAGCTGTAACTGGCATAAATAGCAGCTGCAACCATATGCTGAATACTAGAGGGAATGCCACAAGTCTATCAATTTCAATATTTTTATTTGCAATAAATATTAATCTATATTTCCAAGAATGATGTAATGTGAAAAGGAAAGAGAATGTTTTTTACATGTACATTTTCATAATCATCTAACAAAGGTTGAAATTGTTAATAACAAACTATCAGAAAGTTTCCAATTAAGGAAGTTTTTTGTTTACATTAAAACAACAAACAACAAAAAAAAGTTGTTGAAAGTGTGGGTTAGTCCTACCAAATAAAACCTTTTTTCTTTCATAGTTTCAAAATACTATTTAAAATTTTTCCATCACAGTGTACATTGATCAATAAGATGATTGAAAAAAAAGTGTCAGGAGATGTAGTCAATGAGAGGATGGTGGACTTAGCTAGATATAAAAAATTAATGTCCCAGATAATAACATCAAACTTCCTCAAAACTTACTGGTTGTTATGATATAGTTAATTTTTGAAGATGTTCAATACTGTATGACAAAACTATATGTATAACAAAACTATATGTACATCAAGTCTCTGATCGACAGCCAAACAAGACAGGCAGTAACAGCATACTGGCCTTCAAACCATAACAAAGTAAACAAGGTTTGTACTTTTTGATGACAAAATTCACACTATAGAAGCTGGAACTTAAACTTGACCACCCTATCACCTTTCCAGGACAGATTGACTTCTTTGAGGGCTTTTAGGCCTGTGTCATGGGTGGCTGCCCAATTCTGTTCACTTCATAGGGAAGTCCCAAAAACTGGTCAGCAATTCTGCCAGCTTCTCTCAAGCCACTCAAAAGAGCTCCATGTACTGTGGCAGGATAATTCCTGATTGTATGCTCCCCTGCAAAGAACACTCTGGGAGGATTGGGTGGAGCAGGATTGCCTGGGGGCATTCCTGATACCACTGGAGGTGCCACTGGAGAAGCCATGAGATCATAGTCATTTCCAGAAGAGCCAGCAGCCACAAAGGAGTACGAACCTCGAGACCACTCATCTGACTTCCACCTCGTTACAACTGTCTCTTTGGGCTGAAAGAACACGATTCAATCAGGAAGTGTGTCATACACATTGGCAAGAACTCTACTGCATCACTTTTATAGCTGAAATTATCCTTAACACATAAATTTAGAAAGTAGAACAAGATTCTGTACTTTCTAAGTAAGCTGCCATTTTGCCACTTTTGCATAAACTGGTTTCAGACATTTGCAATGAAGAGTCCAGGCTATTATAATAGTGTTTTTGTTTTGTTTTGTTTTTTTAAATGACAATGTATGACCCTAAGTAGACAGGTAGCAAGAATAGAACACATCATCAACTAAGAATTCTTGCAGGGTTACAGTACTAAATTCTCAGGAGAAGCCAATAACAAAATGTATGGTCTCCTGTTGAGAGAAATAACAGTTTTGATCTTGGCAATGAGAGAGTTAGTTTGTACCTCCAGCTTTTGTATTTCAAATCTATCAAGGAGTAGGGGAGCTTGGAGGGAACAAGTCAATAAACAATTTCTCATCTCTTCCAATAAAGTCATGGATAGATACATTGGGTACCAAACCTGAGGAACTGCACTGCTCCCGAATATTCCTTTTAAGACTGCAATAGCACTTCCAACGATAATTTCATCAGACACATTCTCCAGCTTGTTGGCAGCTTCGCCAGCCACTAAAGCAATAAGCACTGGTGACTTGTAGAGATTCCAAAACAAGAAAAGCTCACCACGGTTTGCTGTCGTACTTCCAACATGACCAAATAGGTTGGTGTTTGGATCCCAGAACACTCGATCGAAGCAAAGAACCACCTTGAAAAAAATAATCGCAGCAGTTGGATTGACCCTCGCAAAGAAAGCAACATGAATAAACGGAAGACATGAAACACACCAATAAGTTCTCTAATTCTATCTTGGTAAGGCATCTGATCTACAAATTCAAGGGTTTGAGGCTCAAACATCTCCTGTTTCCCAAACTCATGAAATTAGTCAAGCAATATTCAAATGGAGAGTTGTACAAGTGGAAATTTTTGGATCTCTAGGTTTTCTCAAATGACTGCTATGTGATAAGAGTGAAAATATCTTGGAGCTTGCTGATAGTTTTGCCTCCAAGTAATAGTTGAAGAATTCCAAAGTAAACTAGAATCTGTGAGAAACCAAGAGAAGCAACTCATGTATAACTACATGAATATAAACCCAAAAACTGCATTGCTGGAATTGCAATGAACTTGGGTCTATCACTCACCTTGTTTAAATTTCCAAAGCCCATTCTGTGTATAGCAGCAGTCTTCCACTCTGGGAGGGGAGGGTGAAACTGCACACCTGATGGATGGCTTTTGAGCACTCCAAGAGGAAGTGTTATCAACACAGCATCTCCCTTAAATGTCTGTGTTGTGGTGATTGATGACTTGCTTGTGCTCTGAGTGACTATTTCTACACCTAAAACACAGTTGACAAAAATAGGTGGTACATAATAACCAAAAGGCATGTTACAGACTCAAAGAGTGTAACCTCTTTTGGTGTCTTTGGTTCAAGGGAGCTGGGACAGAAAACAGGAAATGGAAAGATAAAATGGACAGGAACAGGGAACTTGAAAATGAATTAAATCAGGGAATAGGAAGCATGGACTGGAAACAATAACAAAAAATAAACAATGGAAACTAAAAACAAGAAACAGGAAATTGAGACATCAACCAGAAACGCTACATAAAAAGAACAGATTGAACGAAAAATGAAACGCAAAGGGACACAAGAAAAAGGAAGTGGAGAGATCAACAGCAAACAGGAAACACTAAAAGCAGCAGGAAACAGGAAGTTCTAATTAATCAACAGCGGTTTCCCATATTGGAGGGAATATTATCCACAAAAACATTAACAAAAAGAAACATAAATCACTTGAGCTTGACTTAAGAGTTTTTCAAACCTTTTTTTTTTGGTTTAAATTCTAAGAGTATAGTTTTCTTTTTTGACAGTAAAACAAAATTTGCCTATAAGCTCCTTTGGAATTGTTTTGTTGAAACTGAAATCTATTTACATACAGTCATCTCAGCCAAAAAAGTTAATGGTTGAGCAAGCAATAGCACATACCAGTTCTGGTATAGCGGACATGTCTCACTGCAGTGTTGAGTCTGATATCAAGTCCTTCAGCCAAAGCAGCAGGGAGACAGGAATAGCCATTACGTACAGTCATGTGACTGCCACTGAACTCAAAATCATCATCCTGGTCCCAGTGTTTCAAAGACAGTGATGTCAAGGGAGTTGCATTTGCAAACTCTAGATTAGCAAAATGCCAGTCTAGGATCTGTCGATCTCTCGATGATAGGTAAACATCACTGTAAAATGACCATCAAAAAAGATCAACACTTCTACATAATATAAATGGGGAGCTGAATCAAACTAGCCTTGCTCACTAGACTACTGCATTTCATCCCAGATTCCAATCAATCACAAAAGACATATCAAACAAACAAAGAAAAAAAAAATGCCACTTGTGCGTTTATGTAAGCCTTTGTGCCAGCTTTGATCCAAACTCATTTGACAAATTAAAGCTTTTACTTTAAATTACAGATAATACCTTGGTGGGTTATCCTCAAGTTCTTCAAGTCTTTCATCAATACGAAGCTGTTCCTCTGCCATTTCATCATATTCCTATAGTTGAATTTAACAAGAAAATAGAAATTCATGACTTTTTCTTTTCAAGCAAAATTGCCATGGATCTTTTGATCCTTAGAACCCACTAGAAACTACTTACCCTGCACAGGGCATTCAGGTCTCTTAACTTGCTTTTCACCAAAAACTCTGATGTAACATCCCTGTTAAGAAATTAAACAATCAGAATTGTAACCTCAACACTTAAAGAACATTTAGAAAAAGCTAAAATCCCTGGCAATCATAAATTGCACATACAAGAACTACTGGAAAATAAGACACCTAAGTATGTTAATGAGTAGCCCATACATTAACATCCTTGTGATCTGAAAAAGTGTTTCTATCTTTTATGGGGCAGGAGCCATGCCATGCCAGAACTTGTAAGAAGATAGTCCCTCTAGAAAGTGTCTGTTGTGGACTTCAAAATTAACCTTAATCTCTAAGATCTGAATTGTAATTCCCCCTTCTTGTTGCTACAAATTTCTTTATAAGTTAGTTTGTGTTAGATCAAGCCTCCAACTGGTAACATTTTTATCTATTCTAACAACCTGTTGGCTGAATTGAGTATTACCATTCAAAGAGGAAGTTACTTGTTAGTCACGTAAATTAGTACAAGAGTTTAAATGTATACCTTGGTTCCTTGACTTTCAGGGCTTCTTGGTACTCCTTATGGGTTTGCTTGACTTTCTCCTTCGTCTGCACCATCTGATCAAGTAGAGCAAAATGGCACTTCATTAATCACAGGATAGAGAGGTACACTAAATACAGAAAGACTCAACCACAGAAAACCTACAGTACATAAGATGGTAATTCTCAAGTAAAACTAACTTACCTGGGCCAAGTTAGCCTTAAGTTGCTCTTGAATATTGAGAATCTTTTTGGCGTGTTCGATCTGCTGCTCCTTTACATGTCTCTCTTGCATTCTGTAAACAAGAAGTAAATACATTTGAACTTGATAAACCACATTTAGATTAATACATTAGTTTGCTATCATTTGGAGGATTTCTCTTAATATGTTTCTGATGATGGGGTCACTTGCTGGAAACCAAATGAATCAATCACATCACAGGAAAGAAACAATTATTCTAACTCATTTCTGCCAGCTAGTGATTAGAATATACAGTTTTTAACTGTACAAGTTCATAGGTAACTAACTTGATCACAAGTTCCAGGGCATGACCTAAAGACACAGGTTTGCTGTTCATGTAGTTGAAGTCAATTTGATGTGACAGATAGGAGGTGGCCTCCAGCAACCTGTTGAACTCCCTTTCCACCATCTCATCTTTCTCTTTGGGTACCTGCAGAAAGAAAAATGTGATTTATAGGGGAAAATGTAAGTGACCGAGTAATGATTGGTTCTTGTTTTGATATAACTGGTTGAGAAGGTGACAAGGTTTTCTTGACCAATCACAGAACAAAGAAAAGCAAAACCAAAGCACTCCCAAATTACTTTCAACACTCAGCTGAAAATTGCCCTAAATTATGTCAAGCAAGAGAACATATGTTAATTAATAACAACACTTTCAAGTACATATGAAAATGATAAACATGAACGTTATGAATGGAATTCAATGAATGGATGTATTCCTGTTGGCAGTAATTAGCCTGCATTTTATTTTTCTGAGCTCATTTTTACCAAGTAGGCTTATCAGCACAGAGAGAAAAAGTTTTGAGACATGCTAATTTACATTTATGAGAGTGGTTTTAAGGTTATAATGCAGAGAGAAGAGAGTAGAAAAACAAAAGTAGCTTAGCAGAAAAAAAAAAAAAAAAGGTTTAGCAATAGGTGTTGGTGACTGGGTAAGAATGAACTTAACTGACACGTGTGTGGAGGTACATGTACAATGAATGGCATGTTGATTTGACGCTGGTGAAAAAGAGGAATGCTTACCCTCACAGCAGCAAGCCGGCTGTTGGCCTTCTTTTCCAGTGGGCCCTTCAGGAGAAAATCAGATATTAACCTTGGTTTGTTTGAAACAATGTGCATGTTGTAGTCCCAAGTTAAATTAAATTTAACATTTCTTGATCGTTATATTAAATTTATTTCTACCTTTTTCTTAATCTTTACACAATTTTTAGTGTCTAGACACTCCATGACATCATTCCTGCTGATTAAAATAAATTCTTAAATATAATCCATTGTACATGTACCAATGGCACTTGCCAGAAATGTTAGCTACTTTCCATTGTTTTGATTTTAACATTTTTGTGACTGCTCAAAGGAGTGATTTTACTTTTCTCAAATAAAAAGTCAGGGTGTAAAATTCAAACACGGTAAAAATTTGGAATAAAAAACCAGCTTTCCGGTTCATTTAACATCATTTAATGTTACATTGCAGACTGATTCAGTCTCCCTTTTTGCCATGTTAATCTTATCAGACAATGAACACAATAAAAGGATGTCTAAAAACTCTAACCATAAACTCAAAAACAAGTACAAACTAAAGCTTTTTTTTTAAACATGTCAGGTTAAATGATCACTCACACTGTAAGTTTCGGTTTAAGTTTTAAAAAAACTAACCACACCAAACTATAATATTGTTATGAATGTTTCGATTTAAATATTTGTGGAGAAATTTAAGTCTCACAGATATAGCAAAGTAAATTTGTTCTCAACCCTCACAAACAGTTATTATAAAGCCAACATTTCAATAATTCACCAATTGCAAAACAATAAAAAATCAACTTTTTATAAGGCAAAAAATAAAGTTTATACAGGCAAGTGAATTTTGTACATTATTTACAATCAGTAGAGTAGAGTAGACATCTATATTTATAAAGGATAGCCCCTTCAGTGTAGTAAACACTGGTATCAACTGGGGTCCTG